TTGTAAATGCTTCATTAGTTCACCAACACGTTTATAAAAACGCATCTGGGAAAAAAGATAAAGCAAATTTCTGTTACAAAAAGACGTTTCTGACACAAAAAATTTTAAACGTAGCCAGTACACGTTGATTGTAAATGTTCATATTATTTAATACATTACCACACGGTACCACAAACATCTACTGCTGTACAAAAGTACACCAATTTTATGCTACACGAGAGGTCTCAGGCACAATAAATGTAGAACAGAGCTAAAACATGTCATTTGTAAATGCTTCAAAATAATTTTTCCACCAGAACATGTTTAAAACAACGCTTCTGAGCAAAAAAAAAGATAAAGTAACTTCATGTTACCAAAGACGCCTCTGGCACAATTTAGAACGTAGCCAGCAAATGTTGCATATGAAACCTTCATATTTATTAGTACTGTTACGTCCTGGACTCCACGGTCCCCTTCTGTTTGGAACTAGACATAAACTAGCTTTAAGATTTGCGCCTTAGAAATAATTTTTAAGTAACAATCCTTGAGCAGAGAACAGAGGACCTATTGAACTAAGATAAACAGATCCGTATCGCAATTTTTATCTAATCACTCTTACCGACTTTCAAATGAGTACCGGTCAATTAATCAACAAGTAGCCCGGATGTTTAGTTCTCGAATATAAACTTAGATAATTTAGGCGGTCCGCTAATCTCTAGCAAAAAATGTTATGGCACCGAAAATAAACAGGAAATTGCACGTGCAGATAATAAAGTCGAAACAAATGTTGAATGAGTCAGAAAGATTGATTGTCGGCGATTGGTCCTCTCGCCTGATCGGATTAACAAATGAAAGATCGAAATTTTAATCAGTAAAGAGTGGGAAAGTAAAATCTAAAGACGATTGGCAAAAATCAGAAGGGTTAACGCCCCGAGATCATCATATATAAGGCGTTGGAACATCGGAGAGAGAGAGGGAGAAAGCTCCATAACCAGCATTACGATTAACACAGTTCTATTCCTTCTCGTGCAATTCAGCAATTTAACTTAGAGTCAATTCGGTCATACAAAAAGATACTCGCTTTTCCTGTTCGGTCTGAAATTCGACAATCCTACGATTCTTAATTTGACATCGATCTCGGCACGTAAATCTGAGTGAACAGTGAGACTCGTGACAACTTCCATCAGAGGAGACGACCAATTCATTCCAGCTGAGTCTAGCTGCCAGACTCCTGACTTTTGAACAAAAGCAAATCAATCATTCATCTCGACGTTCTATCGTGAACAATGAGTAGTGAGTACTCACTAATGCAATAGTTTGCAAAATAAACCTTCGAGACGGTTGATATTCGGAAGAAAGGATTAAATTCGACAATTCAATTAACCGCTTCATTTAGTAATCTCTTCTCCTCGACATCCTAGTCGGACTAGCTTTTCGCGATCTTGTGTCGTTCCGAACAACTGCCGATTTCCTTTCAGTCGGACTAGCTGTTCGCGATCTTGTGTCGTTCCAAACAACTGCCGATTTTCTTTCAGTCGGACTAGCTGTTCGCGATCTTGTGTCGTTCCGAACAACTGCCGATTTCCTTTTCCGTCAGATTAGCAGCTCACGACCTTGTGTGTCGTTCCGGGCCGCTGCTGACTTCCATTTCTATCGAACTAACGACTCACAACGTCAGTTGTTTTGAACCGCTGCCGAATTCCAATCACCACTATCAAACTTTGAGCAGTAGCAAATAATATGTAGTTGTCATACCGCTCCGAAAATTAATCGTGATTCTAACAACGCGATATCTAAACCCGAACTTTGCGGCGGAGAACCGCTGTCCGTCAAGCGAACGGACCGAAGCGTACCAACCCCCGTTTACCCGGCAATAGCCTAAATAGTGGCGGTGCTCATTTACATAAGGATGTAAAATATTTAAAATACTAACAGTAATGTTAATAACGAACTCCCAGGATCAAAAATAATAACAATGCCAATGTATATTCAAATTCACATTGAACTTCATCACACGTCCAATTATTTAATTTAACTTGCGTAAGAATATTTTTTTGAATAAATCTAAATGTTAATATTTTGAGTAAAAATGATTTATATGCTCATACGAATGAAAACGGCTTCAACTAATTAAATGAACTTTTGAACATCTATCCTGAAAATTCATTCCTGTAATCTCATCACGTGATTGCCAGGTCCTGTCCCAGGTAAATTAGATTTGTTTCTAAGACCTAAAAGAGGACCGACGAGTGAGAAGACGTTAGACAAGTAATATCGGCAAGTCCGTTGACTTGACTGCGTCGTTGAACAGTCTCGCTCGACTCGCACGCTTGTCTTATCTCATTAGGTCAGTGTGCTGAGATATAATACACAAAAGAGTCGTGTTTCAAATTGCGTTCCACCGTTAAGACCCGATCGAAACCTCAGGTCAGGACGTAACAGTACATACATTTTCAAAAGCACTTCTGAGAGACAAGACAAATTTTATGTCATAGAGACGCTTCTGACATTAAAAATTTAAACTATAGCTACCACACTACAATTAACAATATTTTATAATAATTTTTACACCAGCACACGTTTTCATAAACGCCTCTGGGAAAATAGACAAAGATACATTATAGTCAATAAGATGCATTTGACATTTTGGTATATTAATATTATTTTAAAAACTAGCCAGCATGCGTTGGCAGTTCATAATAATTTTTACACTAGCACACGTTTTTATAAACGCCTCTGAGAAGATAGACAAAGATACATTATAGTCAAATAGATTTATTTGACATTTTGGTATATTAATATTATTGTAAAAACTAGCCAGCATGCGTTGGCAGTTCATAATAATTTTTACACCAGCACACGTTTTTATAAACGCCTCTGGGAAGAAAGACAAAAAAACATTATAGTCAAATAGATTCATTTGACATTTTGGTATATTAATATTATTTAAAAACTAGCCAGCATGCGTTGGCAGTTCATAATAATTTTTAGGGCCATTCTACAATTAGTTGAAAATGTTCCGTCGCCAGTTGCGACCAAGGATCCGGACCGGACTGAAACCGAAACCGATAACCGGACCGTAACCGTTATTTTAGTCAAACCGAAACTGAAACCGGCCCGAAATATTATGTAGACTAATGGACCGGAACCGTAACCGAACCGAAAATTTTTTCCGATGTTTATTTCGGTTCGGATTTTTCTAACGTTGTAAAACGTTTTACAAGAATTTGGAAGAATTTGAAAATCACAGTCGTCATTTGCAACTCATTAGACTGTGTTCGAAGCCTAAATGCATATGTATATGACAATCCGGACATTCCTGCGTTTCTCCGTACTTCGCATTGGAAACAAAGTAGCGAACCTTTATTCTATAGTTCCTTTAGTCCGTGCCATAAACACTAATCTCTATTACAAGTAGATAATAGATTTAATTTTGTCTGCGGAATTTAATCCGGAAGTTGTACATCTCCGGGATCTTGCATTATTGCTAGAACAGTGTAGCGAATTTGTGTGAAAACAAGTATCAAAGCGTGCGCAGAACCTAAAAATCAACCAACATGGGCAGAAAAACAACCAACAAAGCGCACAAGCATTTCACTTATGATAAGATAACAGATGCTTCAATCTGTACTACTTGTAAAACATCGATAAAGGTAAGTTCAAAACTTTATAAATACGGAACTTTACAAATGCGAACTTTTCGATAATAGTGTTGTTCGAGGTTATAGACATAGACACACATTTCTATGAAAATAAGAGCGTGTCATGGCAGTTCTACAATAAATGAGGTTACAGTTAATTGTTTTAAATTTGATTGTACAAATAAATGCAAAAAAAATTAAAAACAAAAAATAATGGTGTTTGAGGTTAAAGCTACTAATATTGAGTTAGAGGTTTAAAATTTAGAGAAAAATTATTTTTCTTGATTAATATCAGAATCTTAATCAAAATAGAATATCTTTGGGGCACTTTGCACTTGCTTATTCGGCTAGACTCTATAAGAAAGTAAAATTTACTTTTTAAAAATGTAAGATTTCCTAACAAAATTTAAAATCAATACCATATTAATAGGATAATAAAAAAATACCTTTTTGTAGGGTAGACACGGAACTAACTTAAAGAGACATTTAACTCGTTTCCACGATTTCAAGGAGAGTGATTTTGATAATAATTCTTCAAATAAAGTTAAAAACAGCGGAACACAAAGTAAACAGATATTGAAGAATGAAAATCAGCTTCAAATCAATGAAATGAACTTTATCAAAGTAGAAATGACGCAAAAGGATTTGGAAAACAGTTGCGTTGATCTTGTAACTGTCAACGGGAGGCCTTTCAGCATCTTGAATGACTCCGGGTTTCTAAATATCGTGAACCCAATCAAACGGGCACTAGAACGAACGAGAAACAAAACATTCTCACTTTCGCCGGAATCGATAAAAAAAAAAGTTGCTGAAGAAGCAAACAATATTAGAAGAGAAATATCAGAAGAAGTAAAAAACNCTATGGTTTCGATTAAAGTAGACGCAGTCACACGTTTAGATAGGTCATTTTTAGGTATTAATATGCAGTATATTAAAACTTCAAAAATTTTGCTTNGAACTTTGGGTCTCGCCGAACTAAAGGAAAAACATACAGGTATGTATAGTTAATAACACTGTATTGTGTTGCATATTTTGCTAACAGAAATACAAATATTATTTGTGTAATCTATAATTTCTAATTTTAATTTGCAGGAGCATATTTAACTACGATTATAAGAGATATATGCAATCGTTACAACATACATATGAATCAAATATATACCATCACCACAGATAACGGTGCAAATATGTTGAAGGCTGTAAAGATGCTGTCTTCAGACTATGATGATTCTGATGAAGCAATTATAGAAGAAAACAAACGCGCTGTTGATGATGACATCGACTTGCAATTAGATCTGGACGAACTCACAGAAGAGAGTAAAGAAAACGAGCCGGAAGATCACGCCNGAACTTTGGGTCTCGCCGAACTAAAGGAAAAACATACAGGTATGTATAGTTAATAACACTGTATTGTGTTGCATATTTTGCTAACAGAAATACAAATATTATTTGTGTAATCTATAATTTCTAATTTTAATTTGCAGGAGCATATTTAACTACGATTATAAGAGATATATGCAATCGTTACAACATACATATGAATCAAATATATACCATCACCACAGATAACGGTGCAAATATGTTGAAGGCTGTAAAGATGCTGTCTTCAGACTATGATGATTCTGATGAAGCAATTATGGAAGAAAACAAACGCGCTGTTGATGATGACATCGACTTGCAATTAGATCTGGACGAACTCACAGAAGAGAGTAAAGAAAACGAGCCGGAAGATCACGCCGAAAATATATTACAAGATATTGAAAATAGTACTCTAGGTTCAGATTTTTCAAGTAGCATATTAACAGGTGCAGCATTTTAACATTAATAGTACTTTAACAAGGCTTGAAATATTTATTCGAATTATTGTTTTACAAGCATTTAAAAATATAATTTAAAATTATAACTAATTACAGCCAATCTAAATAATTAGGTAAACTTTATGCTTACAATATTTACACAATTTCAATCTTAAAAAAATTATAAAATAAAAAGATATTATTTAGTAATGTATCTATTTCAGATTTTAAATTAAATTAAAAATAGATATTTTATTTTCGCATAACAAATTATTAATATTTATTTGTTAACGATTTTAGGAGTAAGATGTGCAGCCCACACCTTGCAGCTGGCCGTGGATNATGCTTTGAAAAATGCAGCTAATGGTATTTCATCTTTGATAAAAAAGACTNGAAAGCTCGTGAAGAAATTGAGAACGCAAACTTTTTTATACATGCTCAAAAAACAAAATTTGAAAAAGCCGATAANTGACTGCCCAACACGTTGGTGCTCGACAGTGGTTATGCTCGAAAGATTATTATTACTGNAAGATTANTGCACAGAACTGGCTGTAACAAAATTTGAGAAGTTTGAAACACTAACTGATGCAGANTGGGCAAAAATTGAAGAAGTGTGTCGAACTTTACAGCCAGTTAAAATGTGCACAGAAAAANTCCAAGCCGAACAACTAACTCTTACCGACTTCTTCAGTAATTGGTTGGAGACAAAATTGGCGATGAAAAAAATGAATACATCTTTCGCAGTGCTCATCTTCGAATTTATGGTAAGTCGGGAAAAGTACCTACTAGAAAATGATGTGCTGTTATCTGCTCTCTTTCTCGATCCGAGATTCAAAATTTTATTAGAGGAGAAGCAGACGGAAAAAGCAAAAATTCACTTAAAACATCTTTGGGCAAAGATAATGTCTCTGCAAGAAGACTTGACATTAAACTCTAACTCACAAGAATACTCATCAAGTGGGTCAGAATCAACGAGCGANGAATTCGAGAGTCTCCTCAAATTAAAAGAGATACACCACAATTCTAATATTTCACAATCATTATCGTCGTCTTCTGTTCTACTACATGACCATCTTTCCTTGCGACGGATTGATATCTTATNGGAAAGCTATAATNAAGAGCAGAAGAGAATCTCAAGAAAAACTAATATCCTAGAATTCTGGCAAGAAAACAGTACGACTCATCCAGAGTTATACAAATTAGCAATGGTTGTTTTGGCGGTACCAGCCACACAAGTGAGTGTCGAACGGTTATTTTCANGATTAAAATTTGTGCTATCTCCGCAAAGAACAAATATCGATGAGGCAATCTTGGAAGATCAACTATTGGTCAGAGCTAATCGAATTTTTATCAACAAAGATGACACGTATGTTTATAATCTTACATATTTTTAATTCTTCGTAGATACAGTTGATGTTAAAGGGGAATTTCTCTTCCAATTTTTGAACATAAAATAAATATTACATAATGAGATTTTTATAAAGGTAAAGCTAACCTTTTAAANCCTTAAAAATTTTACCTCAATTTTGCCAGTTCTTTTATAGCATTAAAAAAGTTTGAAAATTTNAATTAACCTTTTAANATTATAAGTGTTTAGTTTTAGATAAGTAGCGATATGACAGGATATTCACAGAAGGTTACTTTAAAATTTTTTTATTACGACAATTTACATGTATTATAATAATTTACGTAAGATTAATAATATGTTATAGGAAATCAATAATAAACTCGAAACGACCATTGGCGACACTGCAAGTTGCTGTAGAAGACAAAACAAAAGCAAAAAAGACAAGATGTGATTTTCAAGATCAACGGAATTTCCCACTCAAATGATTTATAAATTAATTCATTTTGGTTAATAAACGTGCATTTGTATGCAAATATACTATGCAACTTATATTATATTTATACTATGCAACTTATATTATATTTATTAAATTANCTTTTTTATTTATNATAAATTTTACAATAGATACTTAAACACTTGTAACCGAAAAAAATCGATATCCAAACGGTTACGGTCACCGTTATTGATAAAAGGACCGGAACCGAAACCGAAACCGAAAATCAGGTACAGCATCGGACCGTAACCGTAAACGGACCGAAATTTCATTTCGGTCCGAGTCCCTGGTTGCGACTACTAAGGAAAAAGTATTATTTTGATATTATTTACGTAATGCGGTTGCCAGTTGCTATGCAGATTCGTAGGTTAGAAGATCTGTCATGTAACATGACAGATAAACACATGCATAATGATCATATGCGCACGCGTCATAGTGCAACATTCTCTATCGGAAATTTCTTGAACTACATAATGCCCTTTGTTTCAGACAGAATGATAGTATATGATATCAAATAAACATTATCACGAGTTCAGGTTTCTCTCATTAATGAGATAGTCAAATCATAATTTGAATAGCTCATTCAATTTGTTTTTGTCGTATGTTTGGCTGTAACTCTCTGCAAATACTTACATAAGCTTAGAAATAATTCTACATACATGAATATATGGTAAAGTTATAGAAGAAAACTGTCTAAGAAAAAATTTGTGCTGAATTTTGACATTCCAAACCACACCCGCCAATTCTTAGCACAATTTACTTATTTCTGGAGAAGCATTTTGGATTTAATGCAGTAAATACGCCTCAGAATCTGATTTAAGAAACGTCGGTTTACAGGTCGCTATAGTCGGTATCCAGTATCCTCTTAACGACCAATCATATTCATTTATTAGTTTAAAAACTACACAGCCCGAGATGAATCTCAGTTTTAATTGTTAAAATTATTTTAAGTGTTTTATAGGATGACGTTTAATCAATTTTTGTCTTAGCCAAGTAATTTTATTAGTCATCTTTCTATTGTCACATGAATAAAATTTATCCAATTTAGATAATTGAGTAGTGAAAAATTCTTCTATCTTTATACACACGTTTGTTTTTCAGTCGCGTTTTTACTCTTGTAAAGTGTTAGTCGGGACGGCTTGTGCAACATGGACATTTACGATCAGCACTCAGCGACGTATAATATTATAGCTAAGATTTTTGTAAGTGACTTTTGTATATTGTTTTTATTCTGCGATTCTTAATTAATTATTTTC